ATTTGATTGAGAGTTGGAGAAAATTGAAAATAGCACATGAGAATTTACATTTGATTGAGAGTATGAGAAAATTGGAGTGTTGTCGCGAGAATTTTCATGTTTTGAAGGCTGTACTTTTTATGAGTAAAAGAAGGGGATTTTCTTTTGGCCACATGGCTGGCACCGGATTAAGTTGTAAAATCCCTAGGAATTGAGGGATTTTACTATGAATGATAATCTAAAATCAATCCTACATTTCATGGGGTTTTTCCTGAGGGTTGGTGGGATTGTAAAATATCTGTGGGCATACATCAAGAAACGAGATTCGTCCAATCTCTTGTCCTTGTTGACTGGTTCTATTTTTCTCATCTTTTCTTCTTAACACTCTCACATATTCTAATGAATTCATTGAAATCTTTTCGTTGAAAACGAAACACATAAAAATAAAAAACGGTTAATATTTTGCAAATTCACAAGAAAATCCATTAAATCACATCTACCTAAATCGTTTTGCCTTCCGTATAGATTGAATTCTGAGAAATTAGCGTACACGAAGGAATGAATCATCTTCTCAAGCAAAACGTAAGCGATTTGGTGCGACTAATATTACTGATAATATTCAAGGACTTTGATAATGGTTATCCATACTTGCAATTCTGTAAATTCGAAGAAAAAGATTAGTAAACTAATCAATTATTTTATTGATCATTTATATAGGCCCTCAATTTTCCTGTATAAACAGCTTCTTTCCAAAGTTGTGAGAAATTCTTTCACATTCGAAATTAAAGCCAAAATGCTTTTTATGCAAAAAAAAAAAGGATTTAACGAGGTTCAGAATTTTTTATTATGTATTTCTAAAGGCAAAAGATAAAATCAGAAGATAAAATGCCTTGTGAAACCTCATTTTTTCCCCAGCGGGAGCAAAGTACACACTTCTCACTTCTCACCACGGAAGGTAAAATAAAGAAGGCTTACCCACGTGCTTACCACCCTCACTCGGGTGGTAATTCTGCACGTGGGCAAGCCTTCTTTACTTTACCTCCCTAGGTGAGAAATATACTATTGAACAGCATGAATTATTCCCAATTTTGTCCGTCATACCTACACGGAAAGTTCGATTTTACTCCCCAAATGACGGAAAGAGAGTGGCCTATTCTAACCCTCAGATTTCTGTTGTTTTTGAGGATCTCCGAACTTATGACATAATCCACATTCCTCTCGTCATTTACGGAGAAAAATGGAACTTTTTCATGTAGTGATAACGGAAAGAACAATGTGCACCGAGGAAGGGAAACAGAAATTCAAACCCGCGGGCTTACTACTCTGTTCTTCCCCTCAGGTCGGTAATACACACACGGTTTAGAATGCCCTGTTTTCCTCCCTAGGTGAGAAATATACTATTCCCAGTTTGGTGTCGATTGAAATAGTACATGGCGCATCAAGGGCGCAAAGTCAGTGTTTTCCCGACCGAGGCTCACATTTTCCAACCTGCCTGCAAAGGAAACTTCGTCTGTTGCTGCCTAAAAACCGGGAAGGAAGTGGATACTTTCCACTCTAGGGTGGAAAGGTGCTCCCAAGAGCGGAAAGTCTTAACGACGAATATGTTGAAAAAAATAATAAAAGTACTCCGAAAAAAAATCGATTTTTTTTCAGACGCAAAATGAACTGAAGAGTCCATCAACATTTTTATTCCTATGAATTAAGGATGTTCTGCCGGTATTTTGTTATTTTTCCTATTTTTTTGAGATTTATTGAAAACTATTGATCGGATTGGGATATGAAAATATAGCGTTTGTCCGTTACATCATGATTTATCCAAAGTTTCATCCCGATACATCAATTTTTATAACTTTTCACAAAAATTTATTGATTTTTTATTAAAAAATTTTAGTGGAAAGTTACAAAAATTAGTGCGGCGGGATGAAATTTTATGAAAGAGTCAATCATGATGGAACGGACAAACGCTATATTTTCATATCCCAATCCGATCGATAGTTTTCAATAAATCTTAGAAAAACAGAAAAAATAACTAAATACCAGCAAAACATCCTTAAGGAATGGACTAGTAATTAATAAATTGAATATCAATTAATCAGTCCCAATATTACCAATGAATTATCCATTATCATTTAATAACGTAAAGCAATTTAATTTGGTACTAATAATTTTCGCTCTCAAAATAGTCCGGAATAAATTATCCTAAAATCGGTTAATCAGAGAAATTTGTTCATTTTATATTTGGATAACTAACAATAATTTGATTTTGGGTTTCTCACCAATGAAAAGAGACAGGGTCACAACGAAAAGGACCAAGAGTGTCTTTTTGGGCGCCATTATGATCTCCTCGTAATTTTCTGTGGCCTGCAGCAACTAATTACACACCTCTCGCGTAAACGTCTGTAGAGGAACTGAAGTTAAGTCGTTTTATATTCACAAGCAATATCCTACACTCTTCTGTACCTCCGATGCGATTGGTTGGATATTCGTCTCGATATTTTCCAACGTTTCACGATGCCTATGAAATTTGCAACCGGTTTAATAGATTGAAGTAAAACATAATAGATTTAATGGATTTAAATAAATAATTGTGAACGGACGGTAGTGGTCGTGTGTTTAGTGCTCGACTAGCATCCCAATGATTCGGGATCGATCCTGGGCACCTGCAGTCAAAATTTATAGCGCTCTAAGAAGGTGACGATCGACGTCTTACGTCTTACCCCTCCGCTGCTCCTCTTTATGAGAACAATCCTTGATATGAATGAGGGGCCTGGCGAGTGAATCTCATCCAAGACCCCCCGCCTTTTAGAAGTTTGATTTGCTGTGACAAGTCTTTGGATACCTGAGTCCTTTGAAGTGAAGTTTTTGAAGTGAATGAACCAAGTTGGGAGTCATGGAAGGCCTGGATACCAGGGGTATCCGTATACCTCCGATGATTTTTAGAACTCCAGACTTATCCCAGGAGCTCCCAAAAGCCGAAAATTAAATCTAATCAATTTGGGGTTTATAATTCATTCCATTGAAATGACTCATCACTAATATTTTTATGTATCTATAAAACTACAATTATAAGAGAGTAATTATCATTACCTGTATCATCATAATCAATTTATCGTAATTAATCTCACGTCATATGAGCTTAGAAAATCTCCATGAGAAATTCAGTATAAAACAGTTTATATGTCTGGATATGCAGAGCCTACTAGATCGTATCCTCGATATCTGAATTTGTGGGTGATTATATTGAATTTAGTTCCACCCAGCGAAACAGGACAGGATTGATCTGACCTTACGAAAAAGCATACGGTGTACAAAGCCATTTCCAGTTCTGGAGAGGTACCTATGAACATCGTCGTCACTGCCTTGTCGATGTTGGAGAATTTTGCGTGGAATTTGAGAATAGCAGCTTTCTACGGGAGATAAAAAAATACTCATTTTACATATAAAAAATGAGGAATGTAATATAATATAATTATAATATAGAGAAGTCCTGGGTGATATGAACACAGAATCACTACATAAAATAATAAGCCCCTTGTGAAAAACCATTTAATTATTATCAGACTCAATATCAAATTGATTTTCAAAAATCCATTTTTCAATCCTTTAATGACGTTATAAATTTACTATAAAAAAAAACCAATTATCATTTTAAACCCATTCAATGATGTCCATTATAATTAGGGATATTTTTGCATTATTTACATTTTGTGTTATTTGTGGAGAATTCCACTTGACAGTTTATCTATATTTATCTGTTCGTTCGTTTGAATAAGAAAATGTTGAAAACTATGAAGGGATACATTTTCAATGAACGTCTGTTTGACTCCGGGTAGCCATATTACCCACCATCCCTTACTGACTCTGGAATTTCAGAACCGTAGTTGATAACATCAATATTTAATCACGATAACGTAATTTGCATTTTTTTATTTCGTAATTTATTACCTCAAAACTCCTAATTTGAGTTAAAATTTCTGAGTATATGTGCAGATCAATTTAAATAATTCTACTGAATTTCTAATTTCGTTCCCTAGGAAAAAATCATTTTTCATCGTTTGTAGTTTTACGTGTGAATACCAGAGAGCGGTTGGCCATTCCTGAGGTAGAACACATACGATTGTTACTTCACATGTTATTTATTTATTTTTTTTTATTTTATTTTGCCATCAATTTCATTCATGGTTGGCTTCCGAATGGAATACCTGTAATCTCTTAGCTTTTTGGAGTGAATTTTCTATTATCTAGAAACAAAAAGCAAAGCTAACCCTCAGAACATCCTACCTGGCTAAACTACTGAACTGTGAAACCTTTCGGATATTACGAGCACGTGGGACAGTATCAAGAGAATCCTGTCATAAACGTCAAGACGAAGATTTTGAGAGAAAAAAAAATGAAATCAGTTGGATAGTTTTTGAGATATTACAAAAATTAAATCTACCAACGAACGAGAGTTTCTCAAAAACGGCCGGACCGATTGGGCTGAAATTTGGCACAGAGTTAATAGTCATTCATACCTATGATCCGACGAAATGACGAATTTTTCTCAATTTTTTGAGTCGGTTAATTCTACAATTTTCAAAAACGTGACCACCAGATGGACATCCGCAGATACACAGGGGGTGATAAACTTCGTATTTTTACGTTTCAGGTCATTTTACATCGTTTCCAAGCAAAATTAAGAAATCGAAAAATAGAACAATTAAAATGCTTCCATTGGGAAGCAAAAGTTAAGAAATGATTGACACTATGAGAGAACTTACACCACCAAGATCAATTTTCTTGATGTACCCCAAGTAATTAGCCCGTCCGTTCGTCTCCTCAGCATTGAAATATATCCAATTATGAAGTCCACGGACTTCAGATCCCAGGCTATGTTTTGCGAAGAACACGTTGTCGAATCCAGTGCTAACAATTCTACTATCTCCCGTGGAATAACGATTGAACCACGTTCTCCTGAGCGTGCCCTTGTAGTCGTAGTAATCCCTGCGGATGTAGCCCTTGTCGGCGAGGAAACGCATCGCTACTGCCATGATATTTGTACTTAGTAAAGTGTCAACAAGTAAATTCTCATCCTGTTTCAGTAGTGAGTCGATGTATTTATTTTCGCGAGTTTCTAGTTCGTAATTGTTACGGAGAGTCGAGAATCGTTCGATCGTCGAGATCTCGAACGCTCGCCAATGCACTGTGAGCAATGGTTCTGGGGCCTTATCCCTGGTACTACTGAAATTAGCTTCCCGCTGGAGATTCACTTTAACATGTTCCCAGGCATTATTATTGTCCTTGATCCACAACGCTTCAAACAGTTTCTCCAACTCCTCATCAGTCACTTCATTACCCCTGCTATAAGAAGGATTACTACTATAAATCTTCTTGCCAGCTGCATCTATGGCTCCTCCAGCAAGTCCTCTAGCCACAGCTCCAGGATCTACACTTTCACCACTCTCTTCAGAAATCGGTTGTTCAGATGGTCTGGGAGCTGGAACGGATGGCCCAGGAGGACCTACACTTTCTCCACTTTGTCCAGAAATCGAT